CGGAGCCCTGGGCCGGCTCGGGGCCCTCCAGGTATGTAGGACCACAACTCCCAGTATCCACGAGCTGAGTGTGGGGATGCTGGGATTTCCGAGTCCAGCACAGGGCAGGCACCAGGCCGGGACTGCGCTTAGCAACGCTGCGTTCGTTGCAGCAGAAGCAGTAGGCCGGGGAAGGCCGGCTCGCAGCGAGCCCGCCAGGCCCCCAGAACGCCACTGCTTTGCCACAAGCGGCAGCGCCGCCCGGGCCGACGGAAAGGCGCCTCCTCCGTGAGGACGGGGCTCCCTAGGAGCAGGTCCCGGGGTGCGGTTTGATTTTACTTAGATGGTCTGCCTTTCGCAGGGAAAACAGCAGCACGGTCAAGAGTCGCCTGGAGAGGCCTCAACAGGACCCGGCCTGCTTGGACTCATCTATATTCCGCGCACGAACAGGTCGGGCCTGTGCCAAGCAGCTCACGCGAGACAGCGGGAACCGACTCTCGTGGCACTCGGAGATTCTGACCTTTCGCTGATGTACAGAACAGAGGCCGCCTGGAGGCAGCCCGTTCCGTCGTCCAGCAAGGCAGCACCTCCCGAAAGAACGTGGGGGGCTGGACCCCATGGCCCTCTGGCCCTTTCCAACCCCACTATCCTGTGACTGCATCACACGTTGTAACGGTGGGTGCAGCCCACAATGCCCACCACAACGCCCAATGCAAGCTGTGACTTGCTACCGTCTGTCGGAGGGAGATGAAAAAGCTGCCCAGACGCCTGGAAGCCAGCACAACTAATGGGGGAAATCAAGGGTGGGGCCGGGGAAGGCAATGCCCTAGCCCTAACCCAACCCTAACCTCTGGGGAGTTCTGCAGGGCTTGACTGAGAGCCCCGAGGGGACGTCTCTGCACGGAGTTCTGCGCCCTGCCCCAGCGGAACGCTGCCCCAACCCGGGAGAATGGGTGCAAGGGCACGCCACCTCCTCCCCAGCCACACCAGGGGGCACGGGGGGAACAGGTGCCCGATCGCCTGCGCTCCCTCCCCGCGTTGCCCTTCGCAGGCTCGGTCCTCTGTTCTTCCACCCCTGGGCCTCAGACTGACAGGCGCAGAGGCCTTCCCGAGCTACTAGCTGCCGCTATGCTGTCCAGTGCAAAGGGACACATCCGGGGCAGGCGACGCCGCAGCCCGGGAGGAGCCCTGGGGAGGCGAGCCCCGCATGGGGAGGGATGCTGCACACGGGCGGCCGCGGGACGAGACAGCGAGCACTCCGCCTCGCGGCACAGCTGCCTGGGCACTTACCTCTTCTCTGCAGAAACAGGCCAGGGGGAAAGCGGCAGATCAGCCCGGGATGGGAGAGCAAGGCCAGGGCAACAAGCACCACGGGAAGGTGAGCACAGACTTGTTGTTCCACCCACATCCAATCCACTCACAACCAATCCACCTCCACTCTGAAAGACAACAAGCCTCCTGGCGCACAGGTCAGAGCAGGCAGAGAGAGGAGGCGCGGCACCCCTTTCTCCGCAGCAGCCGAGAGCATCGGCAGCTGCATCCTTCGCAGATCGTGGGCAGAGTGGGGCACCACGCGCAGCGGGCCCAGGTTTAAGAAGCCGGCAAGGCGGGGCTCAGTATCTAACAACAACAAGCAACGGTGGTTGGGCAGGTCCCAGCACCTGGAAGAGATGGCCGGAGAAATGTGTTTCTGCACAGCAACCGGCGGCTGCCCTCTGCAGCTGCTTAGGAGCATCATCCAGGTATGCCATCCTGGCTGGCGGAGGGACTGCGCCACTGCAACGGAACCTGCAGGAGCGCTTGGCTCGTTTGTGTTTGCCTGCCTGCTCTTACTGCTGCTTTGGGACAATATGGCTGGTTTATACCTTCTTGCCGCTAATGACAGACAAAACAAGGCACCTTTTCACATCCTAATTCGTCACTTGGGCTGCTCAACCACCATCAACAAGCACTTTGGGGGCAGCACGGACTACAAAACAAAGAGACGTCTTTTCTTCCAGCCTCACTTGTGAAGGAAGGGCTAGAGGGGAAACAGGACCGGAGCTGCCAAGAGGAGGTGGCTGCTGTTGGGGAGACACTCTGGGGCTCTGCACCCTTTTGGGAGGGGAGTGCAAACTGAGTGAGGGGGAGTGCAGAGCACAGGTAGGAGCACGGGAAACGGGTAAGAGGGACGTGGAAAATCTGGCATGTGGGGGTGAGAATCGATGAGAAAGAAGGTGGGGCAGTCTTGGGCATGGGATGGTTCGACAGTGAGCAAGGGGGACATGCCACTAGCTTATTTGCGGTATTTCTAGAGCTACTGCAGAGAAAAAGGAGTCCAGTGGTGAAGCATGGCTATGAGAAGAGCAGCCCCTCATTTCACGTTTGACAGGAGAGAGAGGAGGAGCGGAGAAAGAAAGATGCCAGATGTGACGGGGAAGGGTGAGAATGGACAGCCATCTACACACGAGGACGGCTAGTGGTTTGTCACGGAAAGCTAGATACCAGCTTTCAGCGCTGATCACGCCGTGTGTCGGAAAGATGCCAAAAGCCAGCCATTCTTCTTGTTTAAATCCACAACGTTTTATTAAGCAACATGAAGCATTAACAGCACTGAATCACGACGTTTTACCCTGGAGTCCAGCAGGTCAAGCTGAAGGCACTGCCAGGCACTCTTGTCCCAAAGCAGCAGAGTGGCACTGCCTGGCCCGCTCTGAGGCAGGGGGCGGTCATGCTTCTCTCGCCAGCCACAACCCCACCGTGGAGTCCATGACAAACCACTAGCCTTGTTATGAGAATGCCTGCTCCGCTTTGGCTCTCTGCCCAGCCTGGACTCAAGCTGCCAGACTCTGCACTCACAGTGTGTGCAGCCCCTGCCCTCGCTCACCCCGCCAGGCCGACTCGCCTGGCGCTTGTGCCAGACAGGTGCTCGGGAGAAGAACCCCTTGGAGGCCCTGCCCTGGGCGTTGAGAATTTGCTGAGCGTTTTGCCGGAGGGCTGCAAAGGCGAGGCAGGACCTCACTGAGCAGACACCGGGATGGCTCCCCCATCCCTCTCGCAGCCCCCACCAGCAGCTCGCTGCCGCTACACAAGCACCTCGCTTCGAGACCAACCCCCGGAGCGCAGGAGGAACAGACCGATGGCTGGAGTGAAGGGCGTGGAGAACGAAGGATGAGCTCAGTGATGGGCTGGTTAAGCAGCGGGAAAGACACAACATGTGAGAGGATGAGAACATGTTGCAGAGAGGGTGGCACCTACAGCAGCACGAAAGCAGCATGCTGGAGAGCGGGGTGGCCCGCCAGACCGCTCGAGGGAGCCCTGCTGGCTGTTTCAAACTAGGCGAGAAAGCGAGTGAGGTGCAGCCTGCGGCACGCCGAGAGCAAGAGCGCCCACCCCGCCCAGCTGGCTGGGCCATGCTGGGAACTGCAGGCCTCGTTTCCCGGGGCCGCAGCCTGAAGCTAGCTGGGAAAACAGTGTCATGGCTGGACTTGCAGTGCAGGTCAGGTGTATGTACGTCCCGGGAGTCGAATGGCTCATTGTGGGACCGCAGAGGGTCAAGGCCCATGGATCTACTCGAAGTCCAGAGCAGCTCTTGGACATCGTGAACCTGAGCAAAGGTGCCTGTCCACCAGCAGCTTCAGCAGTGGCCGTGTCGTTGAAAGGTGCTCGATTGAACATCTAAAAGCACTTCTGGGTGGCGGACACATGGCTAGAGGGCATGGCATGGTTTTCAACTCAACAGATGGCCCGCACCTTCTCTTTGACCATGCACGGGGCTCTCTCTTTTTTCAGGCAGTACCTTGGAAAAAGTACCAGGTGACGTAAGCGCCGAGTGAGAGACCAAAACCAGTGTTGCTAGGGCAGGCCTGGGAATTCATCCACTGCCACAAGAGGGAAGCTGGAGCCTCAGGAAGGGCTGGATTGCTTGGAGGGGGACCCCGTTCTAGAGCTTCTCGAGCAAGGAGCCTGAGGTGGTGGTCCTGTGCGGTTCCCCCCCCCCCTCCCCCGGTCAGCGTCTTACCTCTTCTACATGAATTCAGGGAGAACATCTCTGGCAGAGCAAAATGGGCCAGCTCCTGGGAAAACAAGAGGATGAAGAGACAGGGAGTAAACCACATCAAGAAGAGTCTTACCATTTTTCAAATCGTCCAAGCAGAGAATT